TGTGGGGTGGGCGTAACAGTTTGGATAGCTCAGGGTCTGCACACCGCTTTCAAGACTTCAACCTCAAAACTGAGGAAGGCTATGGGAAAAAGGACTTATGCTCCTATCCTGCCTTGCACTGTCAGTTGCAGTAGCTGAAATTGTCTGGCTAGTTCAAACTACTAAATAGAGAATATTTATACAGAAACTTCCTTTAAAAGGAATAAATAGTCAATGGTGAAACTACAAAGTATATTTAATCCATGTATTCTTTAAATATAGCTCCTATTTTGGAAGCACAAATGGTCTAAGCTCCATATTTAGCAGGAAGAATTCCCTCCTCTTACAGTGTCTTAATTATGATGTCTGAAAGCACCTTGATTAACAAGCTGAAACTTTGGGAGTGTACCCCAAGGAAATAAAGAGAAAACTTGTCTGGCTGATAAATGAGTGGCATAGCCACCAACAACAAAGCTGAAAAGATTCTGTTTTTTGTGTGTGTGTGTGCGCGTTAAAAGCCATGCGCAATGTTTTCATAGCTGGAGCCCACTCTGAATATTTTAGCAATATTATGCAGACAAACCCCAGGGCTTAGTCCAGCAGATAAAGAGAAACCAGTCTTATAGTACCAAGGAGTGAAATGGAGACTATGACAATGTTTAGACTGCAGACAATAATGCAATGGGTATTCTTCTTGGCCCCTGTTTAAAATCAAGTTTCAAGTTGATTGCCTAGCTTCAGCAGTCAGAACACTCAAAGAAACCTGGGGAGCACTCCAAGAATTTTTATTTCTCTCAGATATTTCAAGTCAGATGAAGGTGCCAATTTTTTTCTCTTGAAGACAAAAGCTGATACACTACAACCCCCAAGCAAAAAGATCTAGAGACTTATCAGGTGGTTTTATAGCAAGTTTCATTCCTTTGAAGGATAACACATCTTTCTCATTGGGAGATATCTCCTTAAGTGGGGCATGTCTATAGGTGTGAATATTGCGAATTGCACATCTTAAAAAGCAAGCATGGAGACATAGATAGGATAGACCCATAGCCAGGAGTCAATACACAACACGTATTGACTAGGACAAAACTAGAGGTAGCTGCTCACTAAGCGAGTTTGACACATCTAGTAACACATCAAACACCTTAAAAACTTGCACTTGTTTTTTTCTCTATATATATTCTTAGCCTTTTTCCTCATCTTACTCTCCCAGAGCAACAGTTCCCTTCATTAGTCTCATCTAGAATTCAGTATCACAAATGAGGAAGAAATGCTCAGAAGTTTTACCTGGTGGTGGTTTGATTTTATGACCTTCAGCAGTGTCAATTAAGAAAGACTAAGGGAACTATCAGGGGAATCCAAAGAGAGACCAAGTACACAAAAAAACTAATCATTTCCTATAGATTTTAATGCTTACCACTAACAACTCTAAGTTAAAAAAAAAAAAAATCCAATATGCTTCCACATGTTTGAGGAGAAGACCCAGTATTCCTCACCAGAAGCCCAGCAGCTTTCCTTTTGGAGTATAATGGGTCTGTAGCAAACTCCAGACATGCTCGTTAGCTGGCTCAGAGATGTTGAAACCTATCACTCAAGAAGCAGAGCTGCCTTCGTGAGTATGTTAGAGCTCCAGGGCTCTGTGTCTTCCTTTTCCTCAGAATATGAACTCTGTCTAACCCTTGATTTCATTTCTAGAATACAGTCAAGTATCTAGAGAAAAAGGAATATGGTGGCAACTAAAATATCTAACCATGCATACTTGGGATGACATGTTCAAAGAATTCCCGTTTCCTCCTCTTCTCTCTCTTTGGCCCATTCAAAAGGCCCTTCCAAAAGGAAATAGAAAAAAAAATAGATTTATTCTGATCTGAACATTTTAGCTCAATTACTTTAAAGCAAAAAGCTAGACAAGCTGAAAAAGTCTTTCACATGTTAAAACAAGCTAGTAGATTCATTTTGATATACATCAGTAATGATTTAATTAAACCCTCTTGAATATCTTAGGTCTGTTTTAATGCGAAGTGATAGCTTAACAGGAATCCATTGCACTTGGAAGGACTGGAAGAGTTGATCTTACTCTATAGGCTGCCCTGAAGCATGAAGAGTAACATAGTGACTGTTACACCCTTAGAGTGCTCTGATGAAGTTGCAGAATGTCACTGAGTTATATGAAGTAGAGAAATAGATTTTTAATGATCTTTTTCTCTATGTCTTACAATAAGCATTCAGAAGGTAGGATTTTTGCATCCCTTTGAAAGAGGGATGAGCTCAAATACGAGGTTAGGCGTAAAAAGCATCATGGCATTATTTCCTATTGCGCTTCCTATGTTTGGGCCCTATATTCCTCTTAAGAATTCTTGCATGCTGTATATACATTAGGACACACAGTTCAAAGCTGGAGACACACATGCCCTGTTTAGCCTAATGCAAAAGATATGTCCCTATCATAGGCCCTGAAAGACAGAAGAAAATAAGTCCTTTTTTTCCTGTGTTCCAGGGTTAATTTTAACTGAAATTTAATCTAGTGCTTGCTGCAGAATCAGCATAGACTCTAGAAGAGATCTTTAGCTGCCAAAAACACAGAAACTTCTTACCTGAAGCTTTAATAATAATTTTTAAAAGTTATAGCCTAGGTATTCTCACACAAATATCTCACACTAGCAAAATTGCATAGAAAATATTAAAAGACATCTTAAAAAAAAAAACTTTTTCTCTTTTTTTACCTGCACTAACTGGGGGGGAAATGGTGCATGGAAAGGAGACTTTATAATCCTCCTCACAGCCACCCCAAAATAGTTTTCTTTGCATGGCTTCCCATCTGCATATTACATATACTTGTTAGACATATATGGTTTCTCTCACTGACTTTGGCCAGAAGACAATGCCACATGGAGCAGCCTGTGCTTTGGCTCTGCACCACATATTCAGAGCCCCACACTTCATCAGTGGGCTTTGGTGAGCAGATTTCACTTTGTCTCCATTTCTGACATCACAGTATTGACAAATTAATCACACATATGCTTATCTGAAGACAGAACAGAAATTTTTCCTTCCTGACCACCCATTTCCATCCAAAGATTACAAGAATTAGTCTATAGAAGGCAGTGGTGAAGACACCATTTCATTAAAGGTGTTTAGTATATATTCAGGGGACAAGGGGGGGATGTTACATTTTTTTGTTAGGAATATACACATATACAAACAGGCAGGCTTGCTCATAGCCCTATCCGATTTACTGTTGCACTGATGTCAAAAGCACTATACCAAATGCGTATCAGGCAAAGATACATCCCTTAATATTTACACTTACAAACTCAAAGCATCTTTTAGAACAGAACAATGGAACTGATATGGAATAGAGCAGAACTACAGCCTCAGATCACTGCAGTAGATGGAAAATGTACTTTGGTTATAAAGTATTTCTGTTCCCAGAGGGATGTTCCCATGAGCATAACCGGCACAAAGCCATTAAAAAGAAAAAAGGTTACAGAACAGAAATGGATATTTCTAAATTTAGTTTTTAAGTATAAACATTTAACTAGTCACAGCAATGTCTAAGCATATGAATATTTGGTATCTGGAATATATCTATAAGTCCACTGGAAGGATATAGGTAAATTCCCTTCTAAAAGGGAAATGAGAAGAAATGATTATAGTATCACACCTGTAAGATGGAGAGTTATGCATAATAGAACTCCCCAATCTCAGGAA